CTGATTCGTTTTGTTTATACTAGTTGAGCTAAACCTTTTTCATTTTAAAACAAATATCTTAGCCTAGTCTCTTTGAACACAAATAGAAAATAGAAAAAGGGAATAGATCTTTACTCTCGATGACCTTTTCTTGATTTCTTAAGAATGAACACCTTTGTTGGAAATGTCTTTTATTTCTCTTGATTTTGACTCATTCACCTTAAGGCTCCAAGATTGGAGTCCTCTACCTCACCACACCAAATGCTTCTAGAGATGAAGAGAAGGCAATCAAGAAGTATAGATGCTAGTCTGCTTTTTGATTGGACCAATTTTTGGTTTGGAAGATGAGGTACAAAGATGATCACTCATCAACCAAAGTAGGAAACCAAAAACCCTAGCTAGGTTTTCTCCAACACTTAGCTTAAAGAGGACAACACAAATTTTTGGGTGGGTGTTGGGGCTCCATTTGGTCCATGGGTCATGTCATCTTATGCCACTTATCCCTTGGGCCCAATAATCTTTTGGGATATTTTGTCTATTTCCTTTTAAATCATATTTAAAAGCCCAATCCAATATTTCTCTATGTCAATATTAATTCCTTAATTAATTTTTTAATTATAATTTAACTATTAAATTATAATTATAGTCTCACGCAATTGATCCAGTTGAACTATTTGACTTTGGTCAATTGCTCCGGTCAACATGTTGACTTTTGATAGTTGACTTTGACATTTGATTCTCAACCATTGACTTGTGTCTCCTCATTTCATTTCTCCTCATTTGCATATCTAATTACATTCTTTGGGTAGGTTCCCTTTAGCAAGGTAGTGGGTTGACTCAACTTCTCATAGATCATATACGAACTAAATTCCACAATTTAATTCTTCCTATTAATAAAGGTTAATTGAAACCTTTTAGGACATTCACAAACCATAGTTGTCGCCTAGTACAGTTTTGGGAACCATCATATTCTGATGCGAATATCTCTTAAGCGTCTTGACGATTCTACTATGCGTCATCATGCTTATAACATTCATCTTTGTGTTGTGGTCCCTGAAGTTAGGGGTAGAACCTATGTATTGATAAGCGTACGCGAATCTTCGACTAAAACTAGCACGAAGAAATTAGGAGCCTCTGATATGAGTAATCAATTTGAATTTAAATTTTATCACTCCCTCTCTGTTGGTCGATATGAGATGTTACATTAATATTGTGCCTTATGAACTTTTTTTTTTTTCATTCATTTTTTTTGTTGGAATATACATGATTAATTTTTATACAAATTTATAAATAAACCCAATCCTAGACATGTATTTATAAAAAAAACCCAAATACTATTTAAACATAGAAACACACCCAAAATCAACAATTGTATATTTTTTGGGTGTGTTTATAAATGGGTTTTGAGTGTGTGTAATAATAGGTTTTAGGTGTGTTTATAAATTGTTTTGGGTGTTGGATTTTTTTATAATTTCAGCCCCCATTTTGGGTGTTTTAGTGAAACCCCATAATTTTTAAGTCTTTAATAGTGTAGATGATGAAATTAGTATTTAATCAATTTAAAATATGAAATTTATGATAATTAATTTATAATAATTAATTTATGAAGAGAATACAATTTTATGAAGACTGCGAAATTATGACTCCTCCACCGCCACCGCAGCTTTCCCATTAAGAAATAGACTAAAACGAGTAAGAAATTAGGACCACAGAAAAAGCCTATAAATACAAACCTCATCAACTCAATAATCTCCGCCACTGCGGTTTTGACATGAGATTTTTATGTTTTTTTGCATGGCTAAACGACAAACCCACCAGACCCATTTTCACCGCTTTCCCATTAAGAATAAGACTAAAAAGACTATGAAATTAGGACTACAGAAAAAGCCTATAAATACAAACCTCAAACAGATGAGGGGGGGGGGGTAGGGTTCAACTCAGTTTGCTCTTGAGCCTGATTAAGTGACTAGCCTCAAACCCAGATCATCAAAGTACCTCATCAACTCTCTAATCTCGGCTACAATCTGGTAAATCTCCTATCTTCTTTTTAAACATCATCTAGAACTTTTTTCTGTTGTTCAAATACAAAATGAAGAAAACTTACTTTAATTGTTTTGCTGTAGCTGCTATCGGTTATCCGAGCAATAATTTAACAAGAAGAAAAGTCCGGCTTGGCTGTAAAAGTTGTCCATCCCGACCACTTGTTAAGCACATTCATGTCACGTGAGCCATATTTCATCTCTCTCCTGCTATACCTAGCTTGCTAGCTAGAGTTTTGTTTTTAAAAACATTCTTAATCGTAGTACGTATTTCGATTCAAGCGATGACATCAATTTAATATTAAGCTAAAAATAAGTCCATCGATCGGGTAGTATTTCAAAACCAAAGATTGACTTGACAATTAGACTAACGGATGAGCTTTAGCTTTGCGGTAACAAATGGCTTCTATAAGGGTTCTAAGGTAGCGAAATTTTTTGTCACCGAAGTTTTGACCTGCACTAAAGGCGTAACGATTTGATCAGATATATAATGGAATTCTTCATAAAAAAAATTGTTGAATTGGTGGTTTTTTCTTAAATTTTTTATTGTTTACAAATTTTAAATTATTTAATAAATATTTTTTTTTTTAATCTATGTGGTGTGATATTATTGGATATGTGAGCCCAGATCTGTATACAACATCAGCCATTTAATGGACTTTTTGATGGGGCAGATGCATTAAGGGACAAACGGAGTGGACATCTAAAATCCTCTACGAAACCTTGAGCCCTTGGAACCTCTAATCTTTCTCACATCCAGTCATCCGGATTTTTGTTCAAGTCCAGACCTCTAATTTCAACCTTTAGATGCATCCAACGGCTGCTTGATACAACACCTGATTTAATACAACGCCACTACTTTTTGTCCACGTCACTAAAACAATAAGACTCGTGATTCTCTCTTTCCTCTTCTAATATTCCTTGGTTGTATACTGTGTATCACCGTTGCCGGACCACCGTTATCTCTCATGTTGGGCTAATAAACCCAAATTGGGCAAGGGCATGTGGTTTTTGCTTTGAATCTATTTGGTGACTATTGGTGAGAAACCCAAGTCAAAAATTTGTGTGAGGTGCTTTTTTTCACTTGGAATTTCGAACACCCAAGTTTGCATGTTTGCTTATTGTTGAAATTCATTCAAAGCTCAGCCAAGTTTGGTTCTCAATTTAACGACTCAAAAAAAAAAAAAAAATACAAAACTGGTGAGTTAATACCCCTAGGGAGGATAGTAATTCAAAGCTTAGCCAAACAAGCATTTTGGTTTCGATATTTGGGCTTTCCACGGAACCAACAATACTTTTTTAGGTGGTTTGTATTTGTACGCACCCCATAGGGAGGATAGTTTATCCTCTCCATTTCTTTTTTATATCCCCAATTCTTATTGGGTTTATAATCTCCTTCTCTAGAATTTTTTTCCAAATCTCCTTTCCCCTTCTTAAGATTTATGAGACCTTAAATTCAGTTTTGACTAAAAGGCGCTTTCAACTAAATTTTCATTTTGCTTACTCAATATGTTCTCATATGCTTCAAGAGAGCCTATTATTTTTGTCACTAACAGACTAGTTAAATCTTTTCTCTGTTTAATGGCAATAACTAAAGGATCATACTTGTTAGGAAGATGGATAAGTATTTTTTCTACAATTCTTGAATCATTAATATTTTGCTCCATAGGCTCTCAATTGATTGACTATTTCTTTTATTTTAGCATAATAGTTTTGTGTGGTCTCAGAATCCTTTAGTTTAATGTTTTCAAAATCTTTTCTCAAAGTTTGTAGTTTAATCGCATGTACCTTGACATTGCCTTGAAATTCCTCCTTCAAGGTATTCCATGCTTTCTTTGCAGTTGTGGCTTCCATGATCCTTGGAAATATCGTATCATGCAAGGTTTGTTGAAAGGAAAATAAGGCCTTTGCATCCTTTTGTTGATCCTTCTTTAGTTGCCTCAACTGTTGCACGATTGAATTTTCTTGAGACGTAAAATAGGTATTCATTTTAATATTTCAGAAGTCATAGTTTTCTCTAGTGAAAATAGGAAGAGGAACAGAGTTCTAGCTAGTGGTAGACATGATGGAGGACTAGAGTGAACCAACGCCCAAAGTTGATCGGAACAAGCTCTGATACCATTGTAAGTTTAGGGGAGAAGAGATTTAGGAAATGATTGGTTTAGTGATTAGGACAATAGGTTGACTTGGAATAGAAAACTTTTGAAAGAGTAACAAAGTAGTTTGACTTGAATGGAGGAGGAAAGGTACAAAGCTTTAGATATAGGATTTAGTGGGATATAGGATAGCTGGTAGTTTTCAGCTTACATATTTGTCAAATATTTGTCAAGGCAACAAGCCTATATACAACAGCGGCTCTGAAATTTTAGGGGGCTTGTGCCAAAACAACAAGAGAGCCTCCTAAAATAAAGTTTTGAACGAAAAATTATAAAAAAGATCAAAGTTTATAATCAAAATCTTGTGATCATTAAATTACTAATTATCATTAAATAGGAATTAAAAAAACCAATATTAAATAGGAATAGGAAAACTAACATTATTATTATTAATACATCTCATATCAATAAAATATGGAGCCCACTTTTTCTTTTGTAAGTCTGTCTCAAAAGTAAAAAGTCAATATTAATTTTACTAAACTAATAATTTTATTATTAGGAGACCCTTAAATGTAAATTAAAATTAATTGTGGGGCCCCCATCAAAGTGAGACCCTGATCTGTTGCTCACCTTGCTCCTGCTTAACGCCGCCTCTGCCTATACATAGGAGAGTTCTAACCAACGTAGCTTAGTTGGTTAGTTTATTATTATATTACAGCATTTTGATTATTTTATAATAAAACATACCTTGATATAATGATATTTCAGATTCACCGACTTTGCTAAGTTGGTTTGCTCATTCTTCATTATTCTAGATTTTTTTTATATTATTCACGACACAATTGTTCAAATATTTTATGCAGTTGAAAAAAGGACTTACTGAATGATCAAAACTTTTGGGATTACTCATACTGGATTTGATCACATTCTTTAGTAAATTGCCACAGCTAAGTAATTAAGTTCGTTCTAGTGGTGATGTACACACGAAGAACATCTTCATCTTCTCCATCTACAACACCTCAATGGAAATATGATGTCTTTCTCAGTTTTAGAGGTGATGACACTCGAAAGGGCTTTACAGACCACTTATATGAAACATTGAGAGCTCAAGGAATCATAACTTTCAGGGATGACCGTACAATTTCGAAGGGAAAAGCTATTTCTGGAGAACTGATTGCTGCGATTGAAGAATCAAGGTTTGCACTTATTGTCCTCTCACAAAATTATGCATCCTCAACATGGTGCTTGGATGAACTTGTACACATTCTTAAATTTATGGAAGCAAGAGAAACAGTGCTACCAATTTTCTATTATGTTGATCCATCTCATGTGCGAAAACAAACGGGGTGTTTTGAGAAAGCCTTTACACAACTAGAAGAAAGATTTAGTTTGGATGACAAAACGAGGGTGCAAGAGTGGAGAGATGCGTTGGCAAAAGTGGCAGATTTATCTGGGTGGAAGGCTAAGGACTGGTATACATTCACTTTCATTATTTTCCCAAGGAAAGTTTCTTAAAATGTTTAAAAAGAGTAGCCGTGTTGCATAATTGGATTTGGGCACATGCAATGAATAATATACCTGCTGCTTTATCGACCTTAAGCCAAGATTATTTTTATATAGAGTTTTTTATTACGTGGATCTAAATACATAATTTTTTTTAAAAACCAATAGTTTCACCGTGTAACTCTGTTTTTTTTCTCGCCCACAACCCGATCGCCCCCATCTCCTCCCGCAACCTACGCCCAACCCCACCTTCTCTCTCTTTTTTTCCTCTGTGGACTGGTTCTAGCAGTGTCAAAATTTTCAAGAAAATATAAAGGTTTTCGATAGGTTTTAATTTTTGTATTTAAATCTCATTTGGGTTGCGATTGTTTCAACGGTTTCAGGCAGAGAGAGAGACACAGAGGATGATAGGGAATGGGAGTGTTTTGTTGGATTACAAACTACTTCAGGAGAGGATGAGGGGGGTATGTGGGATTTTTATTTATTGAGATGGATTTTGGTGGAGAGACAGAGAGCGGGGGAGAGAGGGTGGAGATAGAAAGAGAGAGAGAGAGAGAGAGAGAGAGAGAGAGCAGGGGGGAGAGAGACGAGGGGCTCTGCAACTTTCAAAACAAATTTTTTTTTTTAAGATTTTAAATGTGAAATTATTATTTTTTAAATAATTTTTATTTAGATTCGCGTGGCATTATCTCATTGGATATGTGGGCACCACATATATGCCATGTCATCAATTGAATAGAAATTTTCACGGAACTTAATGATAGCATCAAATTGATGTGTGATCTATAACATAAAAGACCAATAATGTCGGAAAAAACAATAAAGGATTAAATGTGATAATTTCTCAAACCTAAAGGACCATTTATGATAAAAACCCTTTTATATATGGTCAGACAATCTTTCTTTTCAGTGATCAAGAGTATTTGTAAAAAATCTAGAGAAAACATATCTGCATGTTGATTCTTTACGTCCACACAATTAACATGACTGATATTGATGTTAATATGTTATAGGTACGAAACCTTGCTCATCAAAGATATAATCGATGTGATATGGAAAAGATTACGTCCTACATCGTTTACTTCTGTGGAGAACTCAGTTGGATTAGACTCAAGTATGAACTCAATTGATTTTTTGTTAGGTGCAGGGGTCGATGATGTTCGCTTTATAGGGATATGGGGTATGGGTGGGATTGGTAAAACAACTATTGCCAGAGTTGTTCGTGAGAGAATCTCGCCTGAATTTGAATTCAGCATATTTCTTGAGAATGTCAGTGATAATGTTCAAAAAGGTGGTCTAATATCCCAACAAAGAGAAATTCTTTCAAGGATATTGATGAAAACGATCGACATATTTGATGTTCACGAAGGATCCACAATGATTAGAAGATTACTTCGTCACAAAAAGGTTCTTCTCATTCTCGATGATGTGACCGACTCAGACCATTTAGATTATTTGGCTGGAAAGCAAGAGTGGTTTGGTTCTGGGAGTAGAGTTCTTATTACAACTAGAAATGAGCATTTGTTAATTGAACATGAAGTGGAGAGAAGATTTCAGGTCAAACGTCTAAATCATGATGACGCTCTTAAGCTTTTTAGTTGGAAAGCCTTTGGAAAAGACCACCCTGAAAAAAACTATATTGATTTGTCTAGCTGTGTTGTGAGTTATGCCGACGGTCTTCCACTAGCTCTTAAAGTTCTGGGTAGTTTTTTGCGCGGAAGACATGCAAGTGCTTGGAACAGTGCATTGGGTAAACTAAGAGATCTTTGTAACACAGTTTTGGGGACACTTCAAATAAGTTACGATGATCTAGATGACAGGGAGAAGAAAATATTCCTAGACATTGCATGTTTCTTTAACGGGGAGAAAGAAGATCGAGTTATAGAAATCCTAGACAGTTGTGGCTTTTGTGCAGGTATTGGAATAGATGTCCTCATTGAGAAATCTCTGTTAACTAATTCATATGGCACTCTATGGATGCATCAGTTGCTCCAAGAGATGGGTCGTGAAATAGTCAATCGAGAGTGTCTTGATGAGCCAGGAAATCGCAGCAGGTTGTGGCGCCATGAAGAGGGCAAGCATGTCTTGAGCAAAACTACAGTAAGGGGACTCTTATTTTACGAATGAGTTCAGTTCTTTTCATATGTTAGTTATATGAGCTTCACTATTCTTTATCCGTGCATATTTGATAAGGAACAGACGCCGTAGAAAGTATAACCATGGACAAAACTGGGCCAGTGGTGCATGCGGATGCTAAATGCTTTTCAAGGATGAAGAAACTGAGACTTCTCAATCTTGCTAATGTGAACCTCTCTAATGATCTTGAATATCTCTCCGATAATTTACGAAGTCTTGAATGGGATGGGTATCCTTCAAAATATTTCCCGTTACATTTCAACCCAGAGAACCTAGTAGAACTTAACATGTGCCATAGTCACATTGAATCTTTTTGGACGGGTGTTAAGGTATGTTATTACTGCTTTATCTTTTTGGACAGCCTTTCACAGAATTTGAAGCTAATTTTTTTTGCTTGCGTTCTTTTGACAGGTTTTATATAATTTGAAAATCATTAAGCTCAGCCACTCTTTGAATCTTGTCAACACCCCAGACTTTAGAGGCCTTCCAAATCTTGAGTATCTGATTCTGGAAGGTTGTATACGGTTGTATAAGGTTGACCCATCCCTTGGAATGCTTGAAAGAATTACTCAGATAAACCTGAAGGATTGCAAAAGTCTTGTGCATCTTCCAAGAAGTGTGTATGGCTTAAAATCTGTCAAAGTTCTTAATCTTTCTGGCTGCTCAAAGCTCGACAAGTTGCCCAATGAGTTGGGCAATGCAGAGTGTTTGGAGGAGATTGATGTGAGTGGAACTGCCGTAAGAGAACTGCCTTCCTCCATTGTTCAGTTGAAAAGCCTCACGGTATTAAACTTTCGTGGATGTAAAGGATCATCACCTAAATTTTGGAATTTGCTTTCCCTTTTTCAGCTATTTCTCTCCCTTTTTCAGCGATTTCTAATAAGAAGTCGCGTTCCCACGCCTTTGTTGCTGCCTTCTCTATCCGGTTTGGTTTCCTTAAAAAAACTTACTCTAAGTGATTGCAATCTCTTGGAAGTCCCTAATGACCTTAGCTGCTTGTCCTCATTAACGTACCTAGATCTTAGTAGAAACCAGTTTGTTAGCCTACCCAACTGCATCTCTCTACTTTCTAGACTTCAATTTCTTAACTTGGAGTATTGTGAGAGGCTTCAAGAATTGCCAGAGGTTCCACAAAGAGTAATAGCAGTTGTTAATAACTGTATTTCATTAGAAAGAATTGCCAGAGGTTCCACAGAAAAGTTCCAGTGGCTACGGTCGACACAATGTATCAACTGCTTCAAATTTGCGGAGACGCACGATTTCAGGAGTTTGGTATTTACATTACTGGAACAATATGATGTGGTCTCTCTCTCGCTCTCTATCTCATACACACAATAATATGTCGTCTTCTTAAGTGTTTTGATGTTGTTTTTTATGATGCAGGAAGTCCCTATTACTGAATTTGTTGTTCCTGGAAATGAAATTCCCAAGTGGTTCAGTCATAAATCTGCTGAATATATATACCAGAAAGAGTGGTTCAATCCTCAAAGTGTGGAGTATCCATTAAGTGTAGAGCTACGTCCAGGTTGGTTTACTGAAAAATGGATGGGATTCGCGGTGTGCCTTGCTTTTGCAATCCAGGAGCGATCACCTAATTGCGACCCTCCTCTTGAGTATCGTAGTTTTGATTACAATTATACACATATTATTACTTGCAAAGTGGACATCAATGGAAAGGAGATGACGGCACGTAGGTGTCCATTTGTGGTTCTTAATGCAGAGTCGGGGCAACCTGTGTCTGATCACCTTTGGGTAGTCTTTTTTCCTCGTCACTTTCCTCAGTTGTGGAAGGGTATCAGCGATCAGATTGAATTGCCTTCTGGCACAGAGTGGTGGCAAGGTATATTTGGTCAGATTACATTTTCAATTACGGCCAGAGTTGGCCATGGAGTAATAGTGAAGCAGTCTGCGGCTCGTCTGGTGTATGATGGAGATTTGGAAGAGCTTGACCCAAGATTTAGGCGCGGGACTCGCAGCAATGTCAGCATTTCTGAGGTGGATTCAGAATTCCCCTCTTACACAAACAAGTAGGAACTAGTGGATGGAAGTGGTACTATTAATAACCCTTTTCATATAAGGTCAATAAAATATTTTCATATATAACACATTCAGTTGCGTAGTCTTGGCTTTTTTTTTTCCTCTTTGTCTTAGTTTTTCTCTCATGGCTTGCTTTACTTCATTTGTATGTAGGGATAAAATTGTTGATTTTCAACAGATGAATGGAATGGAACCACAACAGCAATGAGAGCCACCACAACTGGGACAACAAGAGTAATGATCCTTCCTCCCAATGCAAGTGGCCTTACTATGTACTTTCTTAATACGTTGTTTAGAAGCACCGAGTATTATGGAAATGAAAAATTACAATAAAAGAATTTATACATTATGTGACTATGATGCACCTCATGTACAGCTAAAAGTTATAATAATTCTGTTTTCAATAATAGTGGTTACAATGTCTCATTACTTCAACATTATATTAGACTTCTTAAATTGAAATATCTTCTTGCAGACGTGGGCTTAGCCAAGTTGGCTAGAGTTGATGTGCTTCTTACTCTGAGTTCGAATCTCCCTTTCCGTAGTTTAGATTATATTAAAGTAGAATAATATTGTTTGTATAAAAGTATTGAAATATCTTCTTAAAACACAACTTAATTTGTTCATTAGTGTTTGATGTATAGAAGAAACAGCATATTATTGGTGTTGATACACTAATAAAATACTTTATCAATACGAGTGATAAACTAATAAAACTCTTCACTATAACAAAAGTTGGAAGAACTACAAAGCAAAGCAGCTCAGTACTAAAAAGAAAAAATCAAAAGTAAAGTATGTTTTGAATTCCATTTTGGGACCACTTCTTTTGAAATGAGGGACCTCAACCCTAATTTCATCAACAGACAGAGTCTCGCAATTATTTTTTTGGGAAAAGATGGTATTTCATTAAATTCATAGGAACATTACATGATAAGAACTAGCATGTTAATGACGGTCTCATTAAAATCTTCCCGGAGAAACCACGTGGGGCAATACCCCGGGATAAACACAGTTTTTACTTCTTTTTTCTTCTTCTAGCAAACACCTCATAAGGAATAAGGTCTCACATTCCACAAAATTCTCCAAATTTGACAAGATATTCCTTTAACTCTTTCTTCTATTTTCAGTTGAGTTCTTGATGATCATTTCTATTTTCAGTTAGCTTATCAAACAATAATATACTGTTTGATAAGTTACATTTCCTATCACTGACCCTTTTGTACAACTAATCTGGATGACCAGCCTCAGTGAGACCCAGAAACAAACCCATATTGTCCCAATACACATTTCTTGCTAAAATATATAAATATTTATAAAAAAACACACCAATAGGACAAAAATAACTGACTGCCTGGTTAGTGTCCTCTGATTCACTCGCTGATGTTCCAGTGCCCATTATCGTTCGTTTCAACATTAATTGAACCATATAAAAGAGTAAGTTAGTAATAAAAACATTGACTGGAGTAAAGAATTTGGGAACAAATAAAGAATTTCCTAATGCTCAATCTGTACAGCGCATGTAAACTTTTTATTCATAATGAACCACCGTATGCCTCAATGTTTGATAACTTTCTAGCACAAATATGCATCATGAACCAATAGTATGGGTTAACGTGCAACGAAGCATAATTGTCTTCTTTATTGCTCAACTCACACCATTTTTAATGGTGTGGTTTTGAGAGCAAAGCATACTGATTATGGTGCCTTTTGCTAGAGGCCACTATGCAACCCTATTCCTTAGTTAGTGGTCTAAATTCCAACAATTATTTTCTCATATTTTAGCAAAAACAAACCTGATAGTGCCCACAAACCTCCTTATCATCCCAAGTAAGTTCCGTGTCTCCTTTCCTCCGTCAAGCTACTCGTTGGAATTCACCAATCAATTAAAGCAAGAATAAGCAAACAAAACAAATCCCATTAGAACCACTATTTTAAAAATCAACAAAATTTACCAAATTATAACATCCAAATGTTCAAGGAGGCAAAACTGTTAAATGGGTATGTAGAAAAGCAACGATTAGTTAGTGTTTATGCGAGTTACTTGGCACTAAACTCAACTCACTAGACGCCAATAATATAAAGAAATCCAAAGCGAATTCAAAGTGCAGTACCAGTACCACATCAGATTCCAGGGAAAGGCAAACATGCCACTGCTTTGAGAAGAAAACAGTGTTCCCGAGAATAAGGGCATAACCATCCAACTTCCTCTGGTCATTCAACCAAGCTCTGAGTAATTCCTCCATCTCTGCTCGAATACGTCCACAATACCCAAACTCTAAATAATTCCAACAGGATACATGGCTTCTCCTTCATAACAGAATCCCCAACCTATATGGGTCCTTGAGTGTTACACAAGGGTTTTGGTGATATCTATGGCACTCATGTTATGACATTAATTAAGAAAGGAAGGTTGGTGAAGGGTATAATCATCCAACATTTGTTTCATCCATAGAACTTGTGTGCAACAACTTCCAGCTACCACATATTCTACCAACCAAGTCAGCATTAGTGTCATTGGTATACCACAAACCAAAGTTTGCCGTTCCACTCACATACTTGATAATTCTTTTGACTGCAAACAAGTGAGACTCTTTTGGATCAATTTGAAATCTAGCACAAACACCTACACTAAAGGCTATGTCAAGTTGACTAGAAGTGAGATATAGCATACTTCCAATCATACTTCTATAGAGTGTTTGATCAAAACTCTTGCCACTTTTTAGTACTTGTGTTCATTAGAGTTCTAGCGCTTTTGCAGACCCCAAGCCAAACTTCTTGTCCAAAATTTTGGCATATTTTGAATGAGATACAACGATCCCATCATGCCTTTGTTTAATTTAAAGTCTTAAGAAGTAATTGGTTTCACCAACAATACTCATTTCAAACTCACTTGTCATGACTTGTATGACCTCTTGCACATGAGAAATTGAGGTTGAACCAACCACTATTTCATCCACATAGACTATTCACGAACAATGTTTTATCAACTGAGCCTCCAACATGACCATTTTCTAGAAGATGAGAGGATAACCTCGCATACCAAGCTCTAGGCTTGTTTTAAACCATAGAGTGCTTTCTTGAGTCTGAAAACATCATTTGGATGATGTCGATCCTCAAAACCCTCAGGTTTCTCAATATACACATCTTCATTGAAAATGCCATTAAAAAATGTAGTCTTGACATCCATTTGAAAAAGCTTAAATTTCAAATGGCAAGCAAGATCCGACAATAATCTAACTGACTCCAACCTATCTACAAAAGCAAATGTTTCATGAAAGTCAATTCCTTCCATTTGTGTGTACCCTTGTGCCACTAATCTAGCCTTATTCCTCACTACATTTTCATGCTCATCAACTTTGCTTTTAGAAATCCACTTGGTACCAATTACATTTTAACTAGAAGCCTTAGGAACAAGGTACCAAACATCATTTCTAACAAACTGATTCAACTCTTCTTGCATTGCAAGAACCCACTCTTAATGTTTCCAGGCTTCTTTCACATTCTTTGGCTCTTCCGTGGAGACATAACACACGTGGCTTATCTTATTTGCATACAGCTTCCTTGGAGCATAATATGTCCCATCAATACAGTAGAAATTATCCTTTCAATCTTGCAATACTCACAACATCATTTCCACATTTGCTAATGATCTTACTTCCAAACTTTGAGAATTTGACTTCCTTAGTCCTATCATCACACAATTGACTGGCACTAATAAGATTAGAAGTAAGTCCCTTGATATACCTTACAGTTTTTAGCTTTGGTAAACCTCGAATACAAACAGTTCCTTTAGCAACAACTCGTGACTTGTGACCACGTCCAAAAGTCACACTTCCTCCATCAAGGCGTGTAAGAGTGGAGAAAACTTCTTCATCCTCTGACATGTGCTTTGAACAACCATTATCAAAATACCTGTTTGGGCCTAAGTTCTGCATGCCCAACCCAAAACTATTGGCTCACAATGATAAACAATTTCAGGCTCCATGTTTAAAGAAATTAATTATTAGCCCAAAATTGAAGAAGCCCATGCCATTTTTGATAGCCACCAAAGTTTACCTTGTGTTTTGGCCAAAACTCTGTAGGCCAGCCCATTTTTGTCAAGAGGCTCATGAACAAAACATTTGGGCTTTTATCTATAGGGATCAGGAATCAAAAACCAAAAATGCAGAAATAAGCCCAGACCCTTTTAGCAAATTGTGAATTTAGCCCTATTCTAAATAACCTTCATTGACCATTTTGTTAGAAAACTCACTCTACCCAAGGAGGAAGCAAGTCAGCAAAAAACTTTCTAAAAAGTTTTCTCTCAAGAAATCCCCACATGACTTTCTGACCTTAGAAAAAGTCAAAATTTTCAACTAACACAGAAGAGGTGATGGGAGTTAATGAAGGCAGGTCTAACAAGAGGATTTCTCTACTTTTTCAGCCAAGGAAAAGATCAAATCCCCTTTTATATATGCAGAGAAATTCTGCATCAAAGCAGGTGCTATTTCCAAGAGATAAGCATACTACATTTTTTGAGAGATAAGTAGGAAGCAAGGGAGTTGTTCATCAGGAAAAGAAAATTGACCATCATGGCAGATTGCATTCTTACAAAGGGCAATTAGAGAATAAAAAGGGATCAGTTTTTTCTTTCAAGAAAAAACAGGGAAAAGACCACCACAGGAACTGACTGTTGATGGCTTTTCTCTGGCAGAATAGATAAACTTACTTTTTTTTTTGTGGCATTTAAAATAAAAGATCTTTTTTGAAAGATTTGCCTCCCATTATTAAAAAGATTAGAAACCCCACTCCAACATTTCCTATAAATACAAGAGGAGGTGAATAGATTAAAGGATAGCCAAAAAAATCAATCAAGAAAAAAACTCTCAAAGTCATAATTGACAAGCTCATAAAAGGTCAATTGATCTCAAGAACCTTCAAACACTGAAACAATCAAAGCTCATTGAGCCACAAGAAACAAGTCAGCTATAACTCAAATCTCTGATTTCGGTTCAGTTTTGAGAAACAGTTTTACAAAGCGAGATTTCTTTCGTTACAAATTTGGTTTAACACAAGCCAAGACAAGCGGAGTCCGGGTTCTCACAATATGAAAACCTCAACAAACTTATAGAAAGCCCTAATCAAGCAGAATAGGTACTACAATGCAGCTCCAGCTCAGTAGCCATCAGTCCAACCACTTCTGCCCCTTCCAGATTGAAGAGGCTCCAATTCCGCCCGTTCAAAAAGCCTTCCAGGGCTTAAAATAGATTAAAGCTCTACCAAACTCAAATGTTGGTATTGATTTATAGCTGAAACTTGTCAGTCGAAGGTGTTGATGATCTAATCCAACACAAACACACCCAGTCCAGTCTGAATCAGAAGCAGCTACCCA